GCCCCGCCCTGCCCCGCGTGGCCTCCCGGCTCCGCCGCGACGTGCCCGCGGGCAGCCCGGCGGTTCTGCAGCGTCCCGGGGCGGCCTGCCTCGCACAGCATCTTCCGCCTGCCAGGCCTTTGTGCACGAAACCCTCACTGGCCAGACTGCACCGGGGAAATCACCGCGCAGTCTGCGCCCTGGTTTCCGCATCTTTCAGTGAGGACTGAGAAGGTCTGCAAATGCCCTTCATTGAAGTGAATGGAGAAAGGAGACGTTGACTAAAAGGAGCTACCTTCGCCCCCTCTGTACCTGGCAATTCCAGCTCTCTATCATATATGTGGAGGCCTTGTGGCGCAGTGGTTAAGAGCGAGGCTGCTAACCGAAAAGTCGGTGTTTTGAACCCACCAGCCGTTTGGTGGGAGAAAGATGTGGCAGTCTGCTCCCGTAAAGCTTACAAGTCTTGGAAACCCTATGGCGCCATGGCAACGGGTGTATCATATATGTAAAGAGCCCTGGTGGCCCAATGGTTATGGTATTGGTGAAGAATATTGGGTATACCATAGACTGTCAGAAGAACGAACAAATCTGTCTTGGAAGAAGTACAGCCAGAATGCTCATTAGCAGCAAGGATGGCAAAACTTTGTCTCACATACTTTGGACAAGTTATCAAGGAGGGACCAGTCCCTGAGAAGGACATCATGCTTGGTAAAGTAGACGGTCAGCAAAAAAGAGGAAGACCCTCAGTAAGATTGATTGACACGTTGGCTGCAACAATGGGCTCAAACATAGCAATGATTGTGAGAATGGCCCAGGACAGGGCAGTGTTTTGTTCTGTTGTATATAGGGTCTCTACGAATAAAGTCACTCCTGTCACCTAACAACAACACGGAGCAGATTGCTACGTCTTTCTCCCAGGGAGTAGCTGGTAGGTTCGAACCAGGTTGGAACCACCAACCTTTCAGTTTGCAGTGGAGCACTTTAAACATTGTGCCACCAGGGCTCCATATATATATAGATATATATTTATATACATATATATGTATATCAGCATATTTTTTAATTGTTGTAAAAACATTTATTTTTAAAATTGTTTTTCATTCGGAAAAGTCATGACTTCCCCAAAATATTGTAAATTTCATAAGAATAAAAATTGGGTGGCTTAAATCTCAGTGCCAACACCTGCAAGATGCTTGGTAAATATTCCTGGAGTGAAGGAAGGAATCCATAGTGGTAGCAGGTGGATCCCAATATATATTTGCTGACTTGATCAGGTTCCCTTTGGGATGGGACCAGAAAAAATTGCTGAAGAGTTGCCAGCTATTGTATATTGTTGTTAATGGGCTTAATAACTCTAACCAGATGATCTGGTTTTACCTGTATTCTAATTCTGCTGTGTCACTAAAAATGATCTGTAAGGTATCTCTTACCTTGAGAATTCAGTGATTCTACATTGTTGCCTGAAGCTTTGGGGCTTGAAATTCTTTTGTTTATGTAATGCTGAGATTCTTCTTATATGATGTGTTTTGACTTTCATGACTTTGTGAAAGAAAGACTTTCAAGAAAAGTAAATTGCTGCCTAGTGGGGAGCAGGGAGAAAGTTTTCATTGCTTCTTAGGGGAAATGTGCAAATGAGAGAAGAAAATGAGAAAGTCATTTTAGATGCAGGAAAAAAAAAAGATACGTCATCTCAGAAGTTGTATAGTTTCATGTTTGAGCACCCAAAATATTCAGTGAACAGTTAATATGGTAGCTAACTAGTCCTAGCTTTAAGAGGTTCATTTATTTCAAATAAATATCTGAAGAAAAAATATCTATTTTTAATGTTTTGAATAACATCACATTAATATGTGTTGGTGACTTTATTTGTGCTTCTTCCTGTTGCAAATGTTTTAGGCTGCAAGTAACAGAATATCCAAATAAAAGTGGTTTAAACAATAAGCATCTGTTATCTCAGAGACAATGTGGCTCTGTGTGGTTCTATGATGTTACCACTTCCATCTTTTTGCTCTGCCGTCCTTGAGATATTGGCCCTGTCCCTTTTCATGGTGGCAAAATGGCTGAAACAGCCAGGCATTGCATGCAAACATGGCTATATTTAGCAAAGAGGGGCATTTCTTATGTATCTTTTTATTAGAGAAGAAAACCCTTTCCAGAAGCACCCCAGCAAGCTACCTTTTAAAGTCCTATTGGCCAGGCCTGGATCATATGCTCATGTTATAGCTGCAAGGGAAGCTGGGAAAGTAGTTCTTGAGTATTGTCAGCCTTTAGAGTGGGAGGCAAGCTCTAGCTAGAAAGGAAGAAAGGAGGTAAGGTAGGGATACCCAAAACCAAACCAGTTGCCCATGAAGTCAATTTGAACTCCTGGCACCCCCATGTGTTGCAGAGTAGAACTGTGCTCCATAGGGTTTTTGAGGCTGTGACGTTTTGGAAGCATATAGCCAGGCCCTTCTTCCTACGTGCCTCAGGGTGGGTTTGAACCACCAGCCTTTCAGGTAGTAGTCTGGCGCTTGACCCTTTGTGCCACTCAGGGACTCCGCAGGGTAGGGATGGAGGCAGGGAATAGCTGTAGGATAAGAACCAGCAGAGCTTGGCACAATCATTCTCTCGTATATTCTATCAGCCAGATTGTAAGCAGTCATACAGTCTCTAACAGGCAAAATAATAAACTGATCATGTTACTTTCCTGTTTAAAATGCTTTGAAACTGCCCCATTGACATAATAAAGTTTACACATTTTAAGCCTGGCATAGAAGGCCTTTTATGATCTGGCCCCCATACTCTGCTTATGCTCATTCTCATTTTATTCTATTTTTTATTAAAAAAATATTTTACGATGTCTTTACATTTGCCCAAAACCTCTAATTTTGGAGGAAGACAATATTTGGTGCAGAATAGATATAGTATGTGGCCTGTGACAAGCTGTTCTCCAGATTCCAGGATGCAGTTACCTTGTTGCTGTTCTAGTGTGTGCGGGTGGCTGAGATGAAGAATTCGTGACCAGTGTTCCATCCTACACAGTTCACAAGAAGACAACGGGATCGCCGTGTGAACTATTTGATCCCAGCGTTGTAGGCAGAGCTGTGGAGACTGTCCTGTGCTTTTCGATGGCCTCAGCCTCTTGAGGGGTTTCTTCAGGGGATATCCTGTTCCCTTTACAGGACGCCAAGGGCCTTTGATCAAAGTGATCCACCTCCTGTTCTCAGGGCCGAAACCATGGAAGTCTGTCTTGCTAGTTAATTCAAAGAATTCTATTCTGGTGTCAGATCATTTGAAGCTGAGCTTTGTCATGAACTTAGAGAGCAGGGTAACATTTTGCCCATCTTGCCTGGAATCAGCCACTTGCCACATCCACAAAGGAGTTTTTTAAAATTCATCTTTAGCATGAATCAGTCAATACTAGTTGTGCTATAATAAGCATTTCTTTAATGATGAGTGTCTGAGGGGCTAAGATGATTATTAGGGCAAATATTAACTCAGGGATCTCATATCATATACAAAAGCCAACTCAAGATTAAAGACTTTAGTGAGAAAGGCAAAACTTTAAATCTTTTAGAATAACATACAGGATGATCTCTAGAAGGGGCAGTTTGAACAGTTGTTAAAGTGCAGATGCTGAAGGCAGACTGCCTGTGCTCAAATCCTGACTCTACTGTTTATTTGCTATGTGACCGTAATCTAGTTGTTTAATTTCTCTATGCCTTGCAGTCATCATCTGTAAAAGGAGGATAAGAATAGTACCTGTTATGGATTGAATTGTATCCCTCCAAAATGTGTGTCAACTTGGCTAGGCCATGATTCCCAGTGTTGTGTGGTTGTCCACCATTTTGTCATCTGATATAATTATCCCGTATGTTGTAAATCCTACCTTCTATGATGTTAATGAGGCAGGATTAGAGGCAGTTATGTTAATGAGGCAGGACACAATCTACAGGATCAGGTTTTATTTTGAATCAATCTCTTTTAAGATAAAAAAGAGAGAAGTGAGCAGAGAAGAGAGACACCTCCTACCACCAGTAGGGGAGCGCTTCCTTTGGACCCCGGGTCCCTGAGTTGAGAAGCTTCTAGACCAGGGGAAGATTGATAACAAGAACCTTTCCCCAGAGCCAACAGAGAGAGAAAGACTTCCCCTGGAGCTGGCGCTCTGAATTCGGACTTCTATCCTCCTAAACTGTGAAAGAATAAATTTCTGTTTGTTAAATTCATCTGTTTGTGGTATTTCTGTTATAGTGGCACTGGATAACTAAGACAGTATCCATCTCATAGGGCTATTGCAAGCATTAGGCAATTTAAAACATAAAAAGCACTTAGAACAGTACAAAGAGTACCTGTAACAGAAAGTACTTAATAAATGCTGTCTATTACCATTTATGATCTTAGAGTGGGGAAGAATTCCTTAAACAAACACAAAAAGCACAAACCACAGAGAAAAAAATTGATAAATGCAATTACTGTATTTTTACGCAAATAACACACACCTTCTATGTTTGTTTGCCAACTGCCACCCCCCACCCCCCGCCCCGGGTATTTTCTTAAGCACACTATGCTAATTTTTTTTTTTTTTTTTTTTACAGCAACACGTTAAAAAAAAATCAGCATAGCAGTGATTTTGAAAATAAGTCATGGGGGGAGGGCACAGTTGGCAAACAAACGTACATTAACAAATATGGTACATTAAAATTAAGAACTTTTACAACAACAACAACATACTTCAGTGGGCACCATAAAGGATATGAAAAGCTAAGCCACAAACTGAGAACATTTGTCACACATATGACTGACAAAG